TCAAAAATTCAGCTAGATACTGCCAGATTATGCTTTTACCATTTAAGTTTGAAGTAATTCCGCCAGATTCTGCAAAAAATCACAAAAAATTCAATCAGATTCTGCAATTCTGCCAAATTCAACCGTTACCATTTACACCCTAAATGTTTTTGTTTTTGTTTTTTTAGTGCATGAGCATTGTCGAAAATTAGTTCAAATCAGCTGAAACTATATAAAATACAAATAAAAGTCCAAATCTAAGAATAAACAAAAACCAAAAACGAGAGCGTTCATATTTGAGAAACAATCATAACAAAATAACATAAAAATATAAAAAGAGCTACATTTTTACATGTAGAGGTAGATTATGTCTATAATCTTTTTTTTTCTTTCTGAATAATACTTTATTTATCTTTTGATTATTTTTGTCTTCCCCTTGAGAGATACATTATGGAGCTATTTGCTTACAAAGAGAGCAAGAGAGAAAGAGAGCAAGGTTTTACCTTAGAGTAATAGTAGTGTAGCAATACTTATCAAGGCGGAGATGGAGAAAAGCGAGCAATATTGAATGAACTTTTTTTTTGCGTCTCAATGGATCACCAATTTCTTGAGAGATTTTGCGTTTTTAAGAAAGAACTTCACTAGCTCAAGCTCATGCGAGTGGCCTTTAAAGCCATTGATCTTGAGTTCCTCAATACAGTCTAAATGGTAGTCCTTCTGAACCTTTGGCTTGTGATGAATCTCCCAAAAAAAATCAACTTCAAATGTGAAATTCTTAATCTGCGGATAACATACAAGATATTTAATGAAGTTAGCCCACTGGTAGAAGAAAAAGTATTGATTTTTAGAGAGAGAGAGATACTTACATCGATCAAAACCTTTGTGAGTTTAGGGCAGTGTTTGAGGAATTCAGCGATGTCAAAAAGATTGCAAATTGTTGGAGCTTTAAAAGAAATCTCAAATTCTTTTAAGTTCAGAAACAGGAAAGACTGGTTTTCCATTCTTCCTTCTTCATTCGAGTATTTATACGTGAGAGCCTATATACATGTGAGAGGAACTACATCAAAACTCACTCTAACCAAGAATGAAAGATTATAATTTCGATATAGTACACTGAAATTTTTAAAACGCAATTAATAAAAATAAATTTTTAAAACGCAATTAAACCATGTAGCCTTATTAAGAATTTAAAATAATTTTTACATAAAAGATGATTAATTAAAATAATTTCGATATAGTGGACGGAAATGAAGTAAGGACGATGTGAGTATTTTAGATTTCTCTGAAACTAATTAAAAAAAAATTACCTCAAGAAAGATGTTTGTCGTTGCGAGGACATGAACTCCTGTATAGGCTTCCATGTTATCAATCACCCTTTTAAAGGAATTGTAATAAGGCCAACTGTTACTTCGATTATAGTGGAGTCTTGCTTCTTTAAGTTCATCCACTTTTGAAAATTTAACCGACCTGACATATCCACCATACTTGAAACATTCGAGAGTGGGTGCATCCACAAAGATGTGCAAGAGATTCCGCATAGAAAACACGACCAGTAACTTGAACTTCTTTTGATGTTGAGCATTGATGTTCAATACCCCGTACATTCGGCAGTTGAATAGTTCAAGCGATTCGAGGTGGATACAATTGTTGAAGATTGCATCTATCATCTCTTTTGTTACCTTGGTTCGCATTAGCTCAAGTGTCTTCAAAAGCCTTAAACCCTTTGGAGAATTACCCGGTATTTCAAATTTACACCAACGTAGTTTCAAGACTGTTAGCGTCTCGATAGCCGAGAAGTCAACAGAGATCTCAATAACTTTTTTGGCTTTGGAGAAATCTAACACAAGTTCTTGGATGTTTTTACGAAGACATGTTTTGACCCACTGAAGTATCTTATCTTTCAGGCCGATATGATTGACAGACATAACAAATCGCTTGATCTCTGGCCCTTTGTGCTGATTAAAAATGCCTTCGATGATGCGTACAACTTTTAATTGTGTGCGTCGTTTAGAATATATTCCGCTAAAGTCAAGGTCTCGGGATTGTATTGGGGCATCCTTAAATGTCTTAGACACCACACGATTTTGTAGAACAGTTTGGATAGGGAGAAATGTTGATGTGATGTGTTCCACGAGATCATTGGGCAAATCTTTTATGAATTTCATGCGTTTATTTGAGGATTCTGACATTTTTGCGATTTTTTTTCGAAAGAGCAATAGATTCTTTACAATGGTTGTTTCATATCTTTATAGCACCAAAAAAAAAATGGTTGTTTCATATCTCTATACTAGTTATGATTTATACATATATAGTGTTATTTAATGGAAAAATCAGGTTTGGCGTTGCCTTTTATATATTTTATTTTTCTTAGTAAATGGAGTTAATAATTTGACCCAAAAAAAACTAAATGATTTATTTAGATAATGTGGAGTCAGTGATCATGACACATTTATTTTATTTTTTGGGTTAATTTTTGGTTTTTTACAGAATATAAATTTATTACTTTAAATGGAGAAATTTGATTTTGAGAAAACAAATTGGTTGGTTCTGTCTTTTACTGTTTGTAGAAACTTGACCGGACACTTATTATGTTAATTAATTGTTGTTTTGAA